CTACATCAGTAGTGGTAGTGGCTGCATCAGTAGTTGCAGTTACACCATCAGTAGTGGTAGTGGCTGCATCAGTAGTGGTAGTGACATCATCAGTAGTGGTAGTGGCTGCATCAGTAGTGGTAGTGGCTGAATCAGTACTGGTACTGGATACATCAGTAGTGGTAGTGACATCATCAGTAGTGTTAGTGGCTGCCTCATTAGTGGTAGTGGCTGAATCAGTAGTGGAAGTGGCTACAACAGTAGTGGTAGTGGCTGCAACAGTAGTGGTAGTGGCTACATCAGTAGTGGTAGAGGCTGCATCAGAAGTGGTAGAGGCTGTATCAGTAGTGGTAGTGGCTGCATCAGTAGTGGTAGTGGCTGCATCAGTACTGTTACTGGATACATCAGTAGTGGTAGTGGCTGCAACAGTAGTGGTAGTAGCTACATCAGAAGTGGTAGTGACATCATCAGTAGTGGTAGTGGCTGCATCAGTAGTGGAAGTGGCTACATCAGTAGTGGTAGTGACATCATCAGTAGTGGTAGTGGCTGCATCAGTAGTGGTACTGGTTGCATCAGTAGTGGTAGCGGCTACATCAGTAGTGATAATGACAGCATTAGTAGTGGTAGTGGCTGTGTCAGAAGTGGTAGTACCAGCATCAGTTGTGGTAGTGACAGCATCAGTAGTGGTAGTGGCTGCATCAGTAGTGGTAGGGGCAGCATCAGTAGTGGTAGTAACAGCATCAGTAGTGATAGTGGCTGCGTCAGTAGTGGTAGTGGCTGCTTCAGTAGTGGTAGTTGCTGCATCAGTAGTGGTAGTGACAGCATCAGTAGTGGTAATCGCTGCGTCAGTAGTGGTAGTGGCAGCATCAGTAGTGGTAGTTGCTGCATCAGAAGTGGTAGTGGCAGCATTAGTAGTGGTAGTTGCTGCATCAGTAGTGGTAGTGGCTGCTTCAGTAGAGGTAGTGGCTGCATCAGTAGTGGTAGTAGCTGCTTCAGTAGTGGTAGTGGCATCTTCAGTAGTGGTAGTGACAGCATCAGTAGTGGTAGTGACTGCGTCAGTAGTGGTAGTGGCAGCATCAGTAGTGGTAGTGACAGCATCAGTAGTGGTAGTGGCTGCGTCAGTAGTGGGAGTTGCTGCATCAGTAGTGGTAGTGGCTGTATCAGTAGTTGTAGTAGCTGCTTCAGTAGTGGTAGTGGCTGCGTCAGTAGTGGTAGTGACTACATCAGTAGTGGTAGTGGCTGCTTCAGTAGTGGTAGTTGCTGCATCAGTAGTGGTTGTGGCTGTATCAGTTGTGGTAGTGGCTGTATCAGTAGTTGTAGTAGCTGCTTCAGTAGTGGTAGTAACAGCATCAGTTGTGGTAGTGGCTGCATCAGGAGTGGTAGTGGCTACATCAGTAGTGGTAGTGGCTGCTTCAGTAGTGGAAGTTGCTGCATCAGTAGTGGTAGTGACAGCATCAGTAGTGTTAGTGGCTGCGTCAGTAGTGGTAGTTGCTGCTTCAGTAGTGGTAGTGGCTGCGTCAGTAGCGGTACTGGCTGCTTCAGTACTGGTAGTTGCTGCATTAGTAGTGGTAGTGGCTACATCAGTAGTGGTAGTTACTGCATCAGTAGAGGTAGTTACTGCATCAGTAGTGGTAGTGGCTGCTTCAGTAGTGGTAGCTGCTGCATCAGTAGTGGTAGTGGCTGCATCAGCAGAGGTAGCTACTGCATCAGTAGTGGTAGTGACAGCATCAGTAGTGGTAGTGGCTGCATCAGTAGTGGTAGTAGCTGCATCAGTAGTGGTAGTGGCTGTATCAGTAGTGGTAGTGGCTGCGTTAGTAGTGTTTGTGGCTGCTTCAGTAGTGGTAGTTGCTGCATCAGTAGTGGTAGTGGCAGCATCAGTAGTGGTAGTGGCTGCGTCAGTAGTGGTAGTGGCTGCGTCAGTAATGGTAGTGACTACATCAGTAGTGGTAGTGGCTGCGTCAGTAGTGGTAGTTACTGCATCAGTAGTGGTAGTGGCTGCATCAGTAGTGGTAGTGGCTGCATCAGTTGTGGTAGTGGCTGCGTTAGTAGTGGTTGTGGCTGCTTCAGTAGTGGTAGTTGCTGCCTCAGTAGTGGTAGTTGCTGCATCAGTAGTGGTAGTGGCTGCGTCAGAAGTGGTAGTGGCTGCTTCAGTAGTGGTAGTTGCTGCATCAGTAGTGGTAGTTGCTGCACCAGTAGTGGTAGTGGCTGTATCAGTAGTGGTAGTGGCTGCGTCAGAAGTGGTAGTGGCTGCTTCAGTAGTGGTAGTTGCTGCATCAGTAGTGGTGGTGACAGCATCAGTAGTGGTAGCTGCTGCATCAGTAGTGGTAGTTGCTGCACCAGTAGTGGTAGTGGCTGCATCAGTAGTGGTAGTGGCTGCTTCAGTAGTGGTAGTTGCTGCATCAGTAGTGGTAGTGGCAGCATCAGTAGTGGTAGTTGCTGCACCAGTAATGGTAGTGGCTTCTTCAGTAGTGGTAGTGGCTGCTTCAGTAGTGGTAGTTGCTGCATCAGTAGTGGTAGTGACAGCATCAGTAGTGGTAGTGGCTGCGTCAGTAGTGGAAGTGGCAGCATCAGTAGTGGTAGTTGCTGCATCAGAAGTGGTAGTGGCAGCATCAGTAGTGGTAGTTGCTGCATTAGAAGTGGTAGTGGCAGCATCAGTAGTGGTAGTGGCTGCGTCAGTAGGGGAAGGGGCAGCATCAGTAGTGGTAGTTGCTGCTTCAGAAGTGGTAGTTGCTGCATCAGTAGTGGTTGTTGCAGCATCAGAAGTGGTAGTTGCAGCATCAGTAGTGGTAATTGCTGTATCAGTAGTGGTAGTGACAGCATCAGTACTGGTAATGGCTGCGTCAGTAGTGGTAGTGGCAGCATCAAAAGTGGTGGTGGCAGCATCAGTAGTGGTAGTTGCTTCAGCACTAGTGGTAGTGGCTGCTTCCGTAGTGGTAGTGGCTACATCAGGAGTGGTAGTTGCTGTATCAGAAGGGGTAGTGACAGCATCAGTAGTGGTAGTGGCAGCATCAGTAGTGGGTAGTAACAGCATCAGTAGTGATAGTGGCTGCGTCAGTAGTGGTAGTGGCTACATCAGTAGTGGGAGTTGCTGTATCAGAAGTGGGAGGGACAACATCAGTAGTGGTAGTTGCTGTATCAGGAGTGGTAGTGGCAGCATCAGTAGTGGGGAGTAACAGCATCAGTAGTGATAGTGGCTGCGTCAGTAGTGGTAGTGGCTACATCAGTAGTGGTAGTTGCTGTATCAGAAGTGGTAGTGGCTGCTTCAGTAGTGGTAGTTGCTGTATCAGAAGTGGTAGTGACAGCATCAGTAGTGGTAGTTGCTGTATCAGAAGTGGTAGTGGCTGCTTCCGTAGTGGGAGTTGCTGTATCAGAAGTGGGAGTGGCAGCATCAGGAGTGGGAGTGGCAGGATCGGGAGTGGGATTTGCTGCTTCAGTAGTGGTAGTGGCAGCATTAGAAGGGGTAGTGGCAGCATCAGTAGTGGTAGTGGCTGCATCAGTAGTGGTAGTGGCAGCATCAGTAGTGGTAGTGGCAGTATCGGTAGTGGTATTTGCTGCTTCAGTAGTGGTAGTGGCAGCATTAGAAGTGGTAGTGGCAGCATCAGTAGTGGTAGTTGCAGCATCAGTAGTGGTAGTTGCTGCTTCGGTAGAGGTAGTTGCTGCATCAGTAGTGGTAGTGGCTGCTTCAGTACTGGTAGTTGCTGCATTAGTAGTGGTAGTTGCTGCATCAGTAGGGGTAGTTACTGCATCAGTAGTGGTAGTGGCTGCGTCAGTAGGGGTAGTTGCTGCATTAGTAGTGGTAGTTGCTGCATCAGTAGGGGTAGTTACTGTATCAGTTGTGGTAGTAGCTGCTTCAGTAGTGGTAGTGGCTGCGTCAGTAGTGGTAATGGCTGCTTCAGTACTGGTAGTTGCTGCATTAGTAGTGGTAGTGGCTGCATCAGTAGTGATAGTTACTGTATCAGTTGTGGTAGTAGCTGCTTCAGTAGTGGTAGTTGCTGCGTCAGTAGTGGTAGTGGCTGCTTCAGTAGTGGTAGTTGCTGCATCAGAAGTGGTAGTGGCAGCATCAGTAGAGGTAATTACTGCAGCAGTAGTGGTAGTGGCTGCATCAGTAGTGGTAGTTGCTGCATCAACAGTGGTAGTGACAGCATCAGTAGTGGTAGTGACAGCATCAGTAGTGGTAGTTGCTGCATCAGTAGTGGTAGTGGCAGCATCAGTAGTGGTAATGGCAGCATCAGTAGTGGTAGTTGCTGCATCAGTAGTGGTAGTGGCTGCATCTGTGATTTTAAATTTGCAAATATGATCAGTTAATATCAGCGTATGGTTGCGAGGATTACCTGCTCACAATCATGTGAATATTTCGATAAGCATTTAACGGCTACCTGATATTAGTAAAACAGCTCGACTTTGTTGATATAAATTATCAGGAAGTTAAATTTCATGGAGTTTAATTTACAAATTGAGGCCATACATGTTGGTGTTGTTGTTGTTGGCAACTGAAGTGAAATAAAGTCTTCTGTGGTGGTGAATATGGTGACTCTTTGTGATATTCTTCACCTCGGTCAACATCCTTTTTTTCATTTATATATCACATCATGTTCACCATGAGAAGGACCATATCTGTTCTATCATATGCTTCAGATATAACTTTAACAAGGAAATGCAGACATTTAGATATTTCGCCTACTGATATATATATACATGTACATGGTATTCAACGGGAAAAACCCTTACATTTTCTATTTATTACATTTTTTAAAGTAACGTGACGCAAATACTGCAGCATTAGAAAGGCGCGGGAAATTGTAGCGTACTATTTAACGCCGGGTTATAATGACGTTACGCTTGACAACAATGCAGAGGGTCATGTTAAATGGGGTTGTCAATGTAATTATGCCGTTTGCTGCTATTGTCTGGAAAGATTTCTAACGGGTTTTTTATCTATTTTTTTTTTCTTTTTTTTTTTCTCAGATTTGGCTCTTCACTATTCTTGTCTAATTATAACAATTAGTATAATAAGGCATTGCAATTCATTAGCAATTTTTTTTTTGTTAGTATGTGAGTAGTTAGTATGCATGTGGTTGTTAAATTTATTATTATATATTTTTTCTTACTCTTACTCTCTATCTGGACATATTCTTGCATTTCCTTTCACACTCACTTTGTTAGATATGCTGGTAGTGACGTTACTATAACAGTTTTATTTTCATAAGCCAGACGGTGGTTGTGAGGAATACAGTAATGAACGAATTTGTGTAAATCTGCAGAAAATTGAGAAAAAACCCTTCCTCAATATGTTATAAGCACAGTATAGCATGATCAACAGCTACGGTCTTTTAAGGACGTGTTTCCATGTGTGTAATGTATTCGTGCTTGTGTGTGTGTGTGTATGTGTGCATGTGTGCATGTGTGTATGTTTGTATGTGTGTATGTGTGTATGTTTGTATGTGTGTATGTGTGTATGTGTATGTATGTATGTTTGTATGTGTGTGTGTGTGTATGTTTGTATGTGTGTATGTTTGTATGTGTGTATGTGTGTATGTGTGTATGTTTGTATGTTTGTATGTATGTGTGTATGTTTGTATGTGTGTATGTTTGTATGTGTGTATGTGTGTATGTGTGTATGTGTGTATGTGTGTATGTTTGTAGGTGTGAATGTGTGTATGTGTGTATGTGTGTATGTTTGTATGTTTGTATGTGTGTATGTGTGTATGTGTGTATGTTTGTATGTGTGTATGTGTGTATGTTTGTATGTGTGTATGTGTGTATGTTTGTATGTGTGTATGTTTGTATGTGTGTATGTTTGTATGTGTGAATGTGTGTATGATTGTATGTGTGTATGTGTGTATGCATGCTTGTGTAAAAGTATGATGGAAGTAGTCTATGTTGGTGTATTTGTTTCCTTGCAATACTGCCGATCTTATGCCAAGGGCACCCACCTCAATATTTCACCCGATGATATTATACAGACACGGGTAAATTAGTTGTTGCCATAGCCCTTAAGGTTGAACTTAAAGTAGGGAACACATTTATTTTGTTTAAGGACTTTGGTATGTCCCGACCTTGGGACAGAACCCGTTGTCTACCTCACCTTAGAAAACGCTCAACACTTAGGCTAAAACGTGAGGTTTTGCGTTCAAACAGGCGACCTTTGTCGGTTAAGTGACCTTACGCTGAAATGCATAACTGATTTGGACATCATGAACTATTATAATGATCTTGATGTGGTTACCATATTTGTATTGGAAGCTTTAAATAATATTTTATCTCAATATTGTTGTAACTAAACTTCAAAGATTACTCCCTTTTTTTGTGAAAAATGAGATGTATAAATTTTGTATACTGTTCTAAATATTATGTAGAATAGTTTGATGACATTGAAATTGTTGTTGTCAGGAAGAGTCTAAGCTTGGTTCTCTATTTTTAATTTCAGGGTCTTTGGAAATCCCTACGAAATCATTTCGTTAGTTAATATTCAGTTTAAATTTATTTATTTTCAAAGCTCTCTACCATTAAGGCAAGATTTATACATTTTTAAATGTGTTTTTTGAAATATCATTTACAAAAGTATAATGACCTTGAAATTGATGTTATCATTAAGAATCAAATTTTAGTAAGCAATTTTGAATTTCAGAAAACTTAGAAAATCTCTAAGAAAAATGACCTTGGCATACGTTTATTTATTTAGAAAAGCCTTAACCACTTTGGCAGGATACATACATATTCATATTTTTTGTTTAAACATTTTTATTTTACAAAAGAATGATGACCTTAAAATAGATGTTATCAAGAAGAGTGTGGTTCGCAATTTTGAATTTTAAAATCACAACTAAATGCTTTTGCTGTATTTCTTAAGATTTTTTATCATTTTGGCGTGATACTGCAGGTTATAATCATAGAGACATATTGTGGAGCATTGTTTGAGAACAGGAAATATTGTTCAATGGAGTAAAGATATAGGTAATAATGGTAACTTACTGAGTGTACAGATCACGAGGACACAAACACACCAGCCCATACTTGCCATGTCGTCACCTGTCAGAAACAAAATCAATGTAATTACACTGCTTGCATGAATTAAAGAATAAATGATATTTACGTATCTTGTTCCAGAATCCGGAACGTTCCAACCTTGGAAAAATGCTTTACTAAGCTCTGTTTTGCTTGCATGAATTAAATAATAAAGGATATTCACGTATCTTGTTCCAGATTCCGGAACGTTCCAACCTTGGAAAAATGCTTTACTAAGCTCTGTTTTGCTTGCATGAATTAAAGAATAAATGATATTTACGTATCTTGTTCCAGATTCCGGAACGTTCCAACCTTGGAAAAATGCTTTACTAAGCTCTTCTTTGAGATAGATTACTTAAGTTAATAAAGCTACAGAAATATAAAACTGTACATCTCTTTAAGGAGCAACAAACAAAAAGGCAGCTACACTTGTATCATAATTTGATTTTGACCTGTGAAATGGTAAGTGGAATATTACAGTCCGATTACCTTTATCATGTTCATATGTATTTCAAAGAATATAATTGCAACATTTCCATGTTTTATATTAACATTTCCACTGTTCTGCACTCAAATCAAACTACCACCTCAAAATGTTGCTGTAAAAGTAACAGCAACATATATATATTTCAAGAATGGCGGAATTATTTCCAATAGGATTCAAGATTAATCATGGCATAGCGTTAAGCCATCTTAAATTAGTTGGTTGTTTTCCCCAACGTATTTCTTATCCTCATAATGCACATATTTCCAATTATATATTGATTCTATCAACTCGGCAATGGGTTTTTATCTTTTTTTTATCATCATTGTACTTTTTATTTTTTACCCGTTGTTTTAATATGAAGATTTGACACACATAGTCAAAAGGCAACGACATGGTTTTATTGAATAACTGTGGAGGCATATTTATTTGATTTATACGCTATACATTACAATATTACTGATCATTTCAAATCGTTTACTCTCACATCAGTTAAAATGTGTAATTGAGATATTTAAAAAGTGTTATGTTGTAAATATGAAAATTGAACTTCATGCAAGTGCATAACTAAGAATTTATGAATGGAATGAAAACATTTCGTGACTTTAAGGGTATCAGTATATCTTGTTTTACTTTGCATTGATAGTCAGATTGGATATGAATGCCTATGACCACTCATGTGAAGTGGTGAGTATATATCCCCCTTTCCGAGCCTTCAATCATATAAACACCAATATTAAATCGTAGCCTTAATTAAAATAAGACTAATTAGGATGTTGATATTTACTATTAGTAAAAATCAGAGAGCAGACAACGTTACTGGCGTTCAACCACTTACCGTCAAACATGTTATGATTGAATGCTAGGATTTAAAAAAAAATGTATGACAATTGTTTTTTAATTTATCAACTATGGAAAGTGTGTGTTTGGTGTTTCTAATACCCTTTATAAGTATTTACATTTAATTGATGTTTCGGGATGTGGTATCTTATAAAATAAATTCGTCGTTGATATTTGTCTGCAATTTCTATTATGTTAAACGTTTTAGTTTAAGAGACATGAAAAGACAAATAAAGATGTTTTTGAACTCGCTAACCTGATATGGATATGCAATGATGATATGGTTGGTTAGCTAGTTCAAAACATATTTAGTTCACAAAGTTGACAGCTCCTATAGTGTGTCCGATAACAACAAGACACAGAAGATAAACCACTCAATCAAAGGATGGTTTCCCCAGTTAAGTGTGCTTCACAACGTTATACTATATGTACCTGTCATAATGCGCACAATATAACTCCAGTTTATGCAAGCACCCACCCTCTATTCAGAGTCATACAACCGTCCTGAAATACCTGACATACAAACATAAATACCGTGACGTGCCATAAGTCTTTCACGTCTTCCATCGCAAGAAAGACGTTGATAATAGCCATATACTGTTGCATTGGTATGTTCCAATTTTTCACCGCTTTAACAACTTTATTTCTCTATAACTTTTATTCAAATCCCATCATTTTTTTGTTCATGCATTAGAACACCTCGAACGAGTTTGTGCTTCACGGTGCCAAGGTCAAGGTCGCAATTACTATTTATAGAATTTTTTTTATCATCGCTCTAGTTAATTCATGAGTTCGTGGATTTTGATAAAAATCATGTTTTTGTTAAATATGACAATATCTCAAAAAAAATGTGTTTTTGAACAGATTTGTATTACGTTTCATGAAGTGGCGAATAATATTGTGTGTCAAATTTATTGAAAACCGATGCAGGTAAAATTTTAGAAAGGTAAATTAACATGGAGTCAAAAGGGAATTAACGTTACGTGAACGACTTATGGTATTTATTGGTTACTGTGTGAAAAGTAATATGAAAACTACATAACTTTTCAGGGAGTATACTTCTGGTGTCAAGCTAAACATTTAGCTGCACTACATCTGTTTTTATTTTGATATTTTTTTGCAAATGCTACTATTTGGCATTATGGACAGAAGAATATGTTGTTGCAACAGTATTAGCAACATTAGGATTCACTTATATAATACATATATATAAAGAAACTTAAAACAATCCAAATACGAAATGATATTTAGGATATCTATCCATACAATGTAATCTGATTAGGGGACCATACATATTACCCGCCATTTGTCAAACACGCTAGGCATTTTACTTATTGATTCGTGCACCAGACAACAAAAACTAAATCAAACCCAAACACACTATACAAATCCCTCTTACAGAGACGCTCTGTATCGAAAATCAAGTATTTTCGAGTCCAGCTCCAAAGCAGTGTCAGAATGATATACTCAAGGAAAACTGAAATTACGTTAATATGAATCCCCGTCGCTTAAACCTGTAAGCCAGTATTTGTATTATTTATTGTTTGGTTCGAAGTAAAATGTGATGAGATTTTATTTAATCCCATTTTTTTTCTTTCCTTTGATTTCTGTCATGCATGACTTACATATTGCAATCATAGGCACTTGGATGATTCAATTTGCCATTGTAAACGTCTCGCTCGGTGGTGCATGTAATAGATTTCATCACTAGTTAAACTTGTTCTACCAGATAAAAAAAACCCGCTAAGGTTTGGTTGCAAAAATCAAAATTTAGCAATGTCACCATCACTCGGTCAGATCGTCACGCAGGGTCTAAGCGGCGGTGCATTTATTCAGTGATGCATGGTACAGGACAAATTGAGATAGGAACAAATTCTAAAATAAATCACTAATTAAGCGTTTCTTGCAGCTAATCTCAAATTCATACTTTACTTCAGCAGATATATAATATCGATAACATTCACGTCGCACTCTCGAGATTCGGAACAATACGTGTGTTCTGAACGCAGAATATAAATAGCAAAGTCATTATTACTCCGTTCTTTATTTTCATTTTCATTTTATATATTTATCAATCAATTGAAAGCTAATTCAGTCTTTCCGATTTTGATGCTTTTAAACCCTTTTAGCTTAAAACAATACACACATTGCTAGCTTAACCTTTTCTCCTTAAAATCAAAAGTGATCTTATATTTGTAAAATTCGTTTTTGTAATTTTATTGCCACCATGGAGTATATCTTTTACGATGAAAATACCATACAAACACATAAACAACCACTGGACCCTGTTTAAATAGTAAATGAATGCATTTTTCATAAATAGACACTTTACTCTTCCATATAAGCTTAATCAATACTCCTCTTATATTTGAAATTCTTGTAATAAAAGGGTTTTATGAACCTCCCCTTCAGTTTAAATATTTATCTGGACCAGTTTGTATTTCAACCCTTTTAGTCCCTAGCAACACCCCGATAAGACCGAGAAGGTGAAAAAAAGCTGTACGGTGCAAAGTAAATTGATTTCCGTATACTGTATCAATTACCAAAATGTATGGGTTCAATAGCATGTGAGTGTCTTTTCTTCATCTTGTCTCCCTTATGCGTCGATCCACCTAAAGCCGAATACTTAATATAAGTTGTCTCTATAATTCATAACATAGGTTAATAAATATTCTTAAAGAAATACCGCATGGTACGTTCCTGGAGTGCAAGTAAATATTTAAATTAACTAATAGAAATCCCAATAAAGTGTTGAATAAAGCGCAAATCTTCACAAAAACGTATAAAACCTTTAGGTTCTTGAAATAGATATTCGTACTGTATGCTATTAATAACAAACATGGATAGTTTCGCTAAGGAATTTGAATACTAGCTAGATGTTCTGTAGTGTAACGAATAGTTTAGGTGTGGTCGTGTTAGCCAGTCATCTATGACTGTGTAATTGGTAGTAGTAATGCTACATATGTATACACCTCAACGTGCCTATTAGAGTGTACCCTTCGTATATCTGAGGCGTCGAGTGTCCCGGTTCAAAAAGGACATACAATGTATCTATGAATTGCAACATATCTATGAATTCAAATTTAACAAAACTGTATAGGAGTTTGTGTGTGTGAGTGTCTGTGTAGTATATTCCTCCTTGTTTTTTGTTTGTTTGTTTGTTGTTGTTGTTGTTTGTTTGCACAGTTTCTAACTATTTGTTTTGAAGTCTACTTCGGGTAATAAAGACAATATGTCTCCTGATATTCATACAGATATCAATGTAAGTATAACAGAGAAATTTTAACTGAAAAAGAAATCTATCACTATTTCTGATCATGCAAAATGTTCTTAGCACAAACCATGTTTTGTTTTAATTGTTTTTGTTTTTAAATTTACAACAATAGAAATACAGATCACAGTGCATATTTCTCTCAAACAATACCTTCTATTTTTATTGCATTTCAATACAATTAACACTTAACATTTGGAAAAGTCCTATTACGACACAGTTAATGATCGAATACAGTGTGGTAATTGATACATCTTCAAATTTATATTCGAAAACGTATATTTAAATTTTGTAACTATATCTAGTGCAAAACAAATACTGCATTTACATAATAAAGCTTATTCTTTGTTTGCACGAAAAGAACATTGTTAAGGATACACCGTAAATAGAAAGGAAAGAAATAGAGATCAGGGGAAAAAAATAAAAAGTATATACCAGAATGATCAGCAAGCTTTAGGATGTATTCATGTATATAAGTATAAAGTCAATAAAATTGATTGATATTTAATTAGTAAATCATCTTTATGGTAATATCAATGTTTATTAAATCAGAAGAAGTATTACCTATGTCTTCCTTTCATCTGTACTTGAATATATATTTCTCACCTTTGCTTCTACCATGTGTCGCTGAGTGTTCATATTTTTGATTGAAGTTTTTAAGTTCTAAATAATCGTGTATTTACAGTCACCTTGATTTATAAATACAAGATTAGACTTCACATTGCTCTTATGTGTAAACTATTGTCTCTATATCAGTCCTACATAAAAACAAGAAATAACACACAAAAAATCCCCAAAAACGAAGGAACACCAAAGTATCAACACTACCGTTATTCGAACTTAAAATTGAATACAGTATTCACTTTCATCAAGATTTATTTTGAGCTGAATGTGAATTTGCACCATAATGCGTTAATTTATTCTAAACTGTAACAACTGAAATTTTGAAACTGGTGTCAAATTAAATGGAACCCTATATAGTGACCTGCCATAAGTCATTCACGTTACATTATTATTGTTTCCACTAGATCAAATGCTATTTCACTTTTGTTTAAATGAATTATTTTCACTTCGTTTTTCGTCTCAGTTTGATAACATAAAGTAGTATGAATCAGTGTCCCATATCTATTGTCCAGTTATTAACCGATGAACAGTGCCGATGTGGATGAGGAAAAGGGTACTTTGACTAACAACTTTAATAACCCGAGGAAGAGCGTTTAGGGATGATGAAAAGGGCCGTTCCGTTCATGAAGATCATGAAGAAAATTTTGTTTCCATTAAGTCTTGGTCTGAAGAAGGTCGGTTGAATATTTAGCCACTTTGAGCCCTTTCCGTCCTGCCTCTTAGACACCAAGGGAAAGTTGGAACACTATAATTTACACTTTTGGTTTGGAAGAGTAAAAGTAAACAAGTATCGTAAAAGTATAAAATGTTATTTTTTACGGACGCGCGATAGGCAACCTTTGACCAACGCATTAGGTCATATGAGACATTTAAAGTTTTATTACCGAGTGTTTACATGGTAAAAAGGAAAATCTTTCATCGTCTCCGGTGTCCATCTTTGTCTTAATATGATTTAAAATTTATCCTTAAAATTGAATTTATATATAACTGATATCGTGAGATATGTATTACATTCAAATACAGAACAAAAATTTAATAAATATATCAATGGAACGCTGGGAGAGTCAGATTATAATTTTCATTCACTGAGGCAGCTGCAAAAAGAAGGTATGT